TAAAGGTTTACTTAACACTGAGCAAGAGAGCAACAAAGAGCGAGTACACGCTCAGACACTTACAATCACACACAACACAACACTGAACAGTCCAGGGCTATATAGGGGTGGTGATGAGCTGATGAGGTGCGTTGGGTTTCCATTCCGGTGCTAACGAGGTGGTGCGCTCAGATCGGTGGCTCAGTAGACTGCCGAATCAGAGCGCCGGAGGGGAGCCATGGGAGGAGACGTGACAGGCACTGGCCTTTTAACTATCTCAAAGCCTAGGACCAAGAGGCATGGAGAGGCAGCCTTTAGTTACTATGCCCCCAGCCTCTGGAATAGCCTGCCAGAGAACCTGAGGGGGGCCGAAACTGTGGACATATTTAAAAGACATCTTAAAACACATCTTTTTAGATTTTCTTTTCCTCAGGGTGCTTTTTTTGTCTTTCAGTTTTTATTGTAATTCTTTTTTTTTATCCTCTTATGTTTGTTGTAGTAAATAGTTCTGTTTTTATTTTCATTGTTTTTTTATTAGCTTTTTCCTGTGAAGCGCATTGTGTTGCATTCATGTCTCAAATGTGCTATATTTATAAAGCTTGATTTGATTTGATCATTTACAGCGATTTGGTGAGGGGGATCCCTCCATTAAGAAGGCAGAAGGAGACTTCGAGCCCTCATGCTCCAGGGTTAAGCCATGTGAGAGACCAAGATTATTCTCTGCGATAAAAGATTGGACAACATCATGCTAATTTTATTTTTATTTTTTATACCTTTCTCAAGTACAATGATCAAGAATAAGGAGTTGGCTTACATTGTTAAGGGTTGTCCTCACCGTCATTACTTGGTGGATTGTGCTGCGAGTTTAGCCTTTTGGTGTGTTGGGGAATATTTTGGTGGGGGCTTGGGTAGACCTTTGCCTGAAAATTGTAAAATATCATCCAGACTTTTTCTTTTTACACACGTCATGTGTTAACATTTTATTTAAGTGGAAGAAGACTTAAAAAGTCACAACCTAAACACATTACCAAACTTTAAAACAAAATTCTCCAACGTGCCAAAGTTAACCCAGCAAACGGGACGTCCTGTAGACATTCAGCAAGGTTCCCATTAGGTCCCTTAAGGGTTTTGGCACGACGTTATCCCACTGACGTTCTGAGAAATATAATACGAAACGTAACATATACTATACTGAACAACAATATAAACGCAACATGCAACAATTTCAAAGATTTGACTGAGTTACAGTTCATAGAAGGAAATCAGTCAATTGAAATAAATTAATTAGGCCCTAATCTATAGATTTCACATGACTGGGCAGGGGCACAGCCATGGGTGGGCCTGGGAGGGCGTAGGTCCACCACTTGGGAGCCAGGTCCACCCACTGGGGAGCCAGGCCCGGCCAATCAGAATTAGTTTTTCCCCACAAAAGGGCTTTATTATAGAGAGAAATACTCCTCAGAACCTCCCCCTCCTCAGACAATCCCGCAGATGAAGAAGCCGGATGTGGAGGTCCTGGGCTGGCGTGGTTACACATGGTCTGCGGTTGTGAGGCCGGTTGGATGTACTGCCAAATTCTCTAAAATGACGTTGGAGGTGGCTTATGGTTGAGAAATGAATATTCAATCCTCTGGCAACAGCTTTGTTGGACATTCCTGCAGTCAGGATGCCAATTGCACTCTCCCTCAAAACTTGAGAAATCTGTGGCATTATGTTGTGTGACAAAACTGCACATTTTAGAGCTGCCTTTTATTGTCCCCAGCACAAGGTGCACCTGCGTAATGATCATGCTGTTTAATCAGCTTCTTGATATGCCACACCTGTCAGGTGGATGGATTATCTTGGCAAAGGAGAAATGCTCACTAACAGGGATGTAAACAAATTTGTGCACAAAATTTGAGAGGAATAAGCTTTTTGTGCTAATGGAATATTTCTGGGGTCTTTTATTTCAGCTCATGAAAAATGGGACCAACACTTTATTTTTGTTCAGTATAAGTGGAGTGTCTCGGATTGTCTCAGATTTAGGTACAGAATAATATGAAATGCTCTGAGACCAGGTTGTGTGACTGGATCAGTGGTTCACCAATCAGGACCTTGATGGGCTGCGTAACAGTAACAAGGGGTGATGTGTAATGAAACGAGGGTGCGGGGTACAACACACGTTTCTTTGCGACCATCAGGTGACGTCCCCGGGACAAACCGGGAACTAGACAAAAAACTCCAGGGGAACATGACACAACGTCCTGACGACTTTAGGCGACCATTTCGTGACGTCCTAACGACTCATTATTGTTTGCATGGAGTGATTCTGTCTGGGTTGAGGCTACCTTCCTACTAGGCACACACTTGTAGATTAAAACGGATCAGTTAAAGTAATACGGTAAAAGGTCCTCCCAGTTTATCAAAAGGCAAGATGGTTGTTCAGTGGCTAGGGTTTAGGGCAGGGTTTCCCAAACTCAAGGGTGTTTTGGTTATTGCACTGGCACTACACAGCTGATTCGACAATCAACTAATCATCAAGCTTTGATCATTTGAATCAGCTGTGTAGTGTTAAGGGAAAAAACTAAATGTGCTCTGGGTCCCTGGTCTGTCATGGAAAGAGGTGTACACACACTGTATATATCTTATTAAGTCATACAAAAGTGTTACATTGCGTGAAGTTTAAAATGCATTCTGTCATTACTAAATGTGTATTGTGATATATTTTTAACAAAGAAAACATTTGATTAATACATGATTTAATCAGTCATCTTCCTCAAATGAAGGGGATGATGACGCAATCTTTGCAAGAGGGAATCTGATTGAATTGGTCCTCAACTGAAGTCCACAGTTACGTGACCTACTACAGCATGGTCAAGCAAGTTAATGTTTCCGACATTTTCGGACTACTAAACAACTATTGATTTAGAACTACGGAGAGTTACCGCAAGTCACAAAGAAAACAGGAGCTGCCTCCACTATTCCAGCACCATTTCAACTTCAATATTTCAACATCATCAAATTACCTATGCTTAGTCTAATACAGTGACAGCTAAAATACCCAAAACAATTTCCAATCAACATAAGCTAAATATGATATGGATGTCCATGGCACTTATTTCTGTGTGCGTGTGTGCATGCAAGTAGAAAGAACATGTTGACTTACCCACAAACGCCAACGCCATCCTCCTGTCTTTCATGACTGTCATGCAATACATGCTTTTAGTTTGTGTTGTCTACCTGGCTAAAATGCTTGCTCGCTAGCCTAACTTCCTTTCATGGGCAACAATGCGCCAGGCCAGCTAGTTAACATTAGCCTACTACATCTAGCTACATAGTGAACTTAGGCCAGGGGCACAATGTATAAATTCATGGTTCGATCAGAATCGCCATTATAAGCATTGGCCAGAATGGAGAATTAAGTTAAACCACAGCCAAATTCTTATCTCCATCCATGGCTATTTAGGAAAGGGATGATTTTAGCTAGCTAGCTAGCCACCGGAGGACAACAACACAACGAGATACAACAATTCTAGTTTTTTCTGTAAATTACGTTTGGCTTGTGATTGGTGTGAAGCCAAATCCAAACTGGCTTCCCTTGACACTTTCTTTTGGTGCGTCAGGACCATTCACGGTTGAGCTCACCCAGTTTAGCTCAATGCTGATTGGCTATATATATGTAACAGTGTTGCTTCAGTCCCTCTCCTCGCCCCTACCTGGGCTTGAACCAGGGACCCTCTGCACACATCGACAACAGTCACCCTCGAAGCACCGTTACCCGTCGCTCCACAAAAGCTGCGGCCCTTGCAGAGCAAGGGAAACAACTACTTCAAGGTCTCAGAGCGAGTGACGTCACCAATTGAAACGCTACTAGTGCACACCGCTAACTAGCTAGCCATTTCACACCGGTTACATATATATATATTTTTAAAAAATATCAAGGGAAGCCAAATGCTCTCTGGCTTCCCTTGCATTCAATGCTATGGGTGGCAACAATGTCAACAATGTCATACTATTTTTGTCCAGACAGCATCAGATAGATGGCCTACACATAGAGAGACAGAGGGGCGCTGTTTCGCTCGCTCGGATGCTTTCTCTGGTACAGTCAGCCTCTTGCGAATTGAAGGAAAATTATGAAACACAGACAGAGGAAAGATGAATTATTGTATTTTTTTCTTGGGATTTTTTTTGGGGAAGTCTGGCTTCTCTTGGCATCCATGAATACACGCTAGTGCGTAGGATACCCCTTAGCAGATATTGGCTCCTCAGTTGGCTCATGACATTCATCAAACCTCTGAAAGTAGCACAGAGCAATTAAAAATCAGAAAACAAAAATACTGCAGATATTCAGTTGTTCATACAAATCTTTAGATACTTTCAGATAAATCCTGTTTAGAAAATGTGTACTCCACTTCATTAATGTTAAAAGGGCAATCTGCAAACAATAACAGAGCCATCACACCGCCACCGACATGCAATAAAACATTGTAATTGTCCAATGCAATAGGTGGGTTGTTCATTAGGTGAAATATGGTGCAAAGAAAGATTATCTTTATAAAAATTAGATTCATCCTGGTAAGAATTTATTCCATCATTCTGAGAAAATGTGCTTGCAAAGGCAGTGGCGCATACGGTGTATCTGGGGTTGAATGTAGAGAGAGAGCCCTTTGAATTGAATTGATAGAGAGAGAGAGAGAGAGAAAGACGCGTATTTGACGAAGATGAGAGGGAGGGGTAGAGAGAGGAGGAAGTGGGACCCGGATGCTGATGCAAATGAGGCAAAGGAAGAGGAGAGAGAAAATATCGATTTACGGCAAGAAAAGCAAAAGATTATAAACGGGGAGGCCCTCTCACGCAACGTGTGCAATTATATCAAAAGGAGTGTATCTAGTATAATGTCAATACATATGTAGCTATTTATTTTTCACTAGCAAATCGTTGAATGATTGAAATTGGAACCGGTGAGGGAGACACGCCAAAGGAGAGAGAGAAGATGCTGTGACACGCTTACTGGCAGGGATAGAGCGAGAGGGAGAGGGAGAGGGAGGTTTAGGGTGATACGGTAAAGATGGTTGTTTTGCAAGTGATGCATGTTTCCTCTAAGGAAATCGCTACTATGTGGCTGTTGGACGAAACATATCATTTCGCGTTACAAAGAAACTTCAAAATGATCCGATTTTGACAGACGCTGACAGACGTGGATAGACGTAGGCTAACCATGGTGTATGGAAGCACTTGTGTGGCTAACTCGAAGATAACATGCTGCTCCACTTGTGATAATCGGCCTGACAGTGAATACCATTTACATCAGCATGCATTGAACTATAAGGACGTTTTATCTTGCAATACGTTGTTTGAATGAATGGATGTAGCATCCCAAGGATAGTAACCTGTTTATGAGCAGGTTGCAGATAGAAAAGGAATGGCGCAGTCAAAACTAACGTTGATAAATATCTATTAATGATTGTTGCTGTCAAACTGAAATAGATATTGGTACCTGTTAGGCTATGTGGATTGACCAATGTATCATAAGCGAAGCTAGTTAAAATCTGAAAACGGACATAAAGGCCTACCATGTTATCAATCTTGTCATACTTGTTATCATGATAGGTGTCGCTATTTTGAGTTTAGGCTAGTGCATAACATGATATTTGTGACAGTAATCCATTTACTCAGCTGTTGCCTACCTGTGATTGTTCAGTTTCAGTATAAGACGTCTATATCAACTGAAAGCAAATAGGAGTTCAGAACCACCTATCCACTAAGAAGTAAAACCTCACAAATCAGTGGAGGTAGTAGTTTTAGTCTGGTAATGTGAAATATTACCCACAATTCTTAATTCAGGATTTATCCTGCCTTTAACTCAGAATATAGATCTATAACTCCAGTCTTATCTCAAAGGAGCATTGCAAACTTCCTAACCATTACTTTCCATTGTTATCCAGACTTTTTTGGGGGGACGATAATTCATGAAATCCACATAGATATAGAGCTAGTTATCAACATTAGTCGCTATAAGTCGTAGCCAATAGTAAGAGCAGTATGAGTAAGGAACTGTCACTAAGTCAGTCAGCTCAATATGTTGGGCCATATCGACTGGAAAAAACACTGGGAAAAGGCCAGACAGGTGAATTTCACCATTTTTTATTTGTGTGAAAAATAAGAATGTTTTTGTGTGTGTTTATCATGGGATGGAGGGATGGATGGACGGGTGGGTGGGTGAATAGATAGATGGATGTAATATACACTCACCCGACAGTTTATTAGGTACACCCATCTAGTACCTGGTCGGACCCCCTTTTGCCTCCAGAACAGCCTGAATTCTTCGGGAAATGGATTATACAAGTCGGAAACGTTCCACAGGGATGTTGGTCCATGCTGACGCGATGGCATCACGCAGTTGCTGCAGACTGGACGGTGGTACACCACCGCCTACAGCCTGTACCGTTGACACTAGGCAAGATGGGTCCATGGACTCATGTTGCTTAAGCCAAATCCTGACCCTGCCATCAGCATGACGCAACAGGAACCGGGATTCGTCGGACCAGGCAATGTTTTTCCACTCCTCAATTGTCCAGTGTTGGCGCTCGCGTGCCCACTGGAACTGCTTCTTCTTGTTTTTAGCTGATAGGAGTGGAACCCGGTGTGGTCGTCTGCTGCAATAGCCCATCCGTGACAAGGATCGACGAGTTGTGTATTCAGAAATGTAATTCTGCACACCACTGTTGTACTGAGCCGTTATTTGTCTGTTTGTGGCCCGCCTGTTAGCGTGCACGATTCTTACATTTTACATTTACATTTTAGTCATTTAGCAGACGCTCTTATCCAGAGCGACTTACAGTTAGTGAGTGCATACATTTTCATACTGGGCCCCCGTGGAAATCAAACCCACAACCCTGGCGTTGCAAGCGCCATGCTCTACCAACTGAGCTACACTTGTCATTCTCCTTTGACCACTCTCATCAACAAGCTGTTGTCACCCACAGGACTGCCGCTGACTGGATGTTTTTATTTTTTTTCACCATTCTTGGTAAACCCTAGACACTGTCGTGCGTGAAAAGCCCAGGAGGGCGGCCGTTTCTGAGATACTGGATCCGGCGTGCCTGGCACCGACGATCATACCACGCTCAAAGTCGCTTAGGTCACTCGTTTTGCCCATTCTAACATTCAATCGAACAGTAACTGAATGCCTCAATGCCTGTCTGCCTGCTTTATATAGCAAGCCACGGCCACGTGACTCACTGTCTGTAGGCACAATAGATTTTCGTGACTGGGGTGGTGTACCTAATAAACTGGCCGGTGAGTGTATATGTTTTGTGAATGTGTTATGAATGCGTAATACCGATATTAAAAGGGTGAACATGTGACTCTCTCAGGCCTGGTGAAGCTTGGAGTTCACTGCATTACGGGACAGAAGGTAGCCATCAAAATAGTCAACAGGGAGAAGCTGTCCGATTCAGTTCTGATGAAGGTAAGGTGTTGATGATGATGATGAAAATAAGGATATCCCAGTACGATGGCTACTTTTCTAAAGACTGACAATTTAATGATTAACTGTCTGTTTGCAATAGTTACAATAGCAATATAACTGTAATGCAATGTACATAGTAAAGACTATTTGTAATAGTAATGAAATGATATGCGTGCAACGGCTTTCTCACTCTGTAACGAAGACATGTTTCATCAGGTATGCTTTAAGAGTGAACACTGGAATGTAAATTCCTCTGAAATTACAATTTGTATATCTTTTTCTCCCCCCCCCCCTCTCTATTTCTATTCCCTGCTCTCTTTCTATCCCCATCTCTTCTCTCTCTCCCTATATCCCCCCCCCCCCCCCCCCACACACCTTTCTCCCGCTCTGTCTAGGTGGAGAGGGAGATTGCCATCCTGAAGCTGATTGAGCATCCGCATGTGTTGAAGCTGCATGACGTTTACGAGAATAACAAATACCTGTGAGTTCATTCATTCAGGAGCGACCTTCGGCTCTGCCTGTAGCCTGTAGTTCTAGACCCGTGGGTGTGATGTGTAACTATTACACAAAGGAATGTATTAATCCGCTCTGTCTATCTCTTGAAGTCTGTGCAGATTTCTGTCATCAAATCTCCCATTGACTTCAATGTATGTTCTATGCAAAAATCCTAATCACACAAGTCTATCCTCAGGTTAGGATTCAACCCACTTGAAATGCTTGCTCAGCATCTCTCTCTCTCTCACCCCAACCTTCACCCCTTTCAATATATTTATTCCGCTCACACCTCTCTCTCCTCCTCTATATGACCCATCACTATCTATCTCTGTCACTCTCCCCCCTCTCTCTCTCTCTTTCTGTCTATCACCCATCTCTCCCTCTCTGTCTCGCGCTCTCTCTCTCTCCGCCCCCTCCCTGTAGGTACCTGGTGTTGGAGCATGTGTCAGGTGGGGAGTTATTTGACTATCTGGTGAAGAAGGGCAGACTGACACCTAAAGAGGCCAGGAAGTTCTTCCGACAAATCATATCGGCCCTGGACTTCTGTCACAGTCATTCTATCTGGTAAACGACTATATTCATGTATAAAACTCATTGTCTATCTGTGAGTGGCCTGTGTGGTCGACCAGTTAGAGCCACTGACCGTAGCACACATTATGCCAGAGTTGGCATGGGTTCGAATCCGGCCCACTGCTCTTTGACTCGTCCACCCTCTATCTCCTTTCCTGTCTTTCCTCTACTGTCCTATCTGTTCAATAAAAGCACAACAAATCTGAAACAGTTGGGACTGCCCACTTTAACAATTCTTTTGCAGTTTTTTCTTCTTTCAAATAACTTATCAGCACCTGATTGAGCTTCCTGGTGCAATGGGACCACTGGAATAGTCCCAGAAGTGCAAACCCCGACCATATAACACTACAGGCAGGCTCAATCAAATGGTCTGATGGGGTCTAAATGTTTTTATGCTTCCTTAATTATTAAGTAATTATATTCTATACACGCCATCTGTGGTCTCAGTGTTGTTCATACTTACTTCCGTTTATAGTTCAATATCTCACTAATAAAGTCATTATATTCAAATCTATTCTATTCTATCCTACTCTACTTTACTCTTCTCTAATCTACTTGATTCCCTCCATCCTACAGTCACAGAGACCTGAAGCCAGAGAACCTGCTCCTGGATGAGAAGAACAACATCCGTATCGCTGACTTTGGCATGGCCTCCCTACAGGTGGGGGACAGCCTGCTGGAGACCAGCTGTGGGTGAGTATGCTGTGTGTGCATGCGGGTGTGCATGTACGTGTGTGGGTCTTATGTGCTGGTAAATGCTTACATCTTCTCAATGCCTCATTTCTATCCATTTCAGATCCCCACACTATGCCTGTCCAGAAGTGATCCGGGTAGGTTCCTGCTCATCTTCCCTTTTCATAATTCTAAGTGGCTAAGATCATCCAACCAAGTGAGATAGAAATGTAATGATTGATAAGACATAAGAAATGTAAGTATTTGATAAGGTAAGAGATACATGTTGGATAGTTAACCGTTGTTGCATAGTTGACATTTCGATCTCACATTATCCATTTCTCTTACTCTCTCTCTCTCTCTCTGATCTCTCCATCTGTCTCTCTTAGGGAGAAAAGTATGATGGTCGCAGGGCAGATGTGTGGAGCTGTGGAGTCATCCTTTTTGCTCTGCTGGTGGTGAGAAAGTGTCTTCTGATATTTTTGCCTTACGCCCTACACCCCACCCAATTCTTTCAGATCTACAGGAGGGCTTAGGGTGGAGGTGCTAGGGGTCCATTTGGAATGTCGTATTCATGGAGTTGGGTTATAACCTTGTGACTCAACATTATCTGTGCCAAGGAAACCAAGGAGTTAAGCCTAGTCGTAGACTAAAAAGCATGTTCAATGGAGACTAGGCTTAATATGTGTATGGAAAACCAGCCCGGCATGTTCGTACGTGTAGTCCTGCCTCCCATTCCTTGTAAAAGGGCCTATTTAACAGTAACATTCTCTCCTCTGTAGGGTGCCCTACCATTTGACCATGACAACCTGCGTCAGCTCCTTGAGAAGGTGAAGAGCGGGGTGTTCCACATGCCCCACTTCATCCCCCCAGACTGCCAGGCCCTGCTCAAAGGCATGATCGAGGTTGACCCCGACAAGAGACTTACGGTACGAGAGAGGGAGATAGGGAGGGGAAGGGGGACAAGGAGGGTGGTAGTGGCAAGAGACAGGACGGGAGAGGGAAGTGGGAGCCATTTGGGATGAATAGGGTGCCATTTGGGACACACTAAATAAGATTTAGATGCCCAAAATGTATGCAAAACTGATGAGGTGCTCTTTTCCAATTGCAAAAGTCAGGCCTAGCAGGAATTGTTTACACCTTGCGCTAGCAGCCATCTGTGTGTGAACAGACTGTTCTAATTGCTCCATCTGCCCTCACGCCCTTCCAGCTAGAGGCCGTCCAGAGGCACTCCTGGTATCAGTAAGTATAGATTCGTTTGGTCTGCCTTTGAATTATAGAATTATATTGAGAATTTGAAGTTGATGTCAAATGTTGTTTATTGTGCCCAGTGTTTTGGGTCACTAACATGGGGGTATTGTGTGTGTGTGTGTGTGTGTGTGTATATCTTTTTGTTTGTCTGTCTGCGTGTTTGTTTGTCTCAGGTCGGGTCGTAATGAGCCGTGTCCCGAGCAGCCCGTTCCCAGGCGTGTGTGTGTGGGGCGCATCCTGTCTTTGACTGAGCTGGACCCAGACGTGCTGGACAGCATGCACTCTCTGGGCTGCTTTAAAGACCGCGGGAAACTCACCCGCAACCTGCAGTGTGAAGAGTAAGTGAGTCTGTTCATCTGTGTGCCCATGTTCTTCTCTCTAATTTCTCTCTTTCTTTCATTGTTTTGTCTAGCTCAGGGGTCTCCCTGGCTATTTATAGATTTCCCCCCAAAAAACTAATATATACAGTGGGGAAAAAAGTATTTAGTCAGCCACCAATTGTGCAAGTTCTCCCACTTAAAAAGATGAGAGAGGCCTGTAATTTTCATCATAGGTACACGTCAACTATGACAGACAAAATGAGAAAAAAAAATTCCAGAAAATCACATTGTAGGATTTTTAATGAATTTATTTGCAAATTATGGTGGAAAATAAGTATTTGGTCAATAACAAAAGTTTCTCAATACTTTGTTATATACCCTTTGTTGGCAATGACACAGGTCAAATGTTTTCTGTAAGTCTTCACAAGGTTTTCACACACTGTTGCTGGTATTTTGGCCCATTCCTCCATGCAGATCTCCTCTAGAGCAGTGATGTTTTGGGGCTGTCGCTGGACAACACGGACTTTCAACTCCCTCCAAAGATTTTCTATGGGGTTGAGATCTGGAGACTGGCTAGGCCACTCCAGGACTTTGAAATGCTTCTTACGAAGCCACTCCTTCGTTGCCCGGGCGGTGTGTTTGGGATCATTGTCATGCTGAAAGACCCAGCCACGTTTCATCTTCAATGCCCTTGCTGATGGAAGGAGGTTTTCACTCAAAATCTCACGATACATGGCCCCATTCATTCTTTCCTTTACACGGATCAGTCGTCCTGGTCCCTTTGCAGAAAAACAGCCCCAAAGTATGATGTTTCCACCCCCATGCTTCACAGTAGGTATGGTGTTCTTTGGATGCAACTAAGCATTCTTTGTCCTCCAAACACGACGAGTTGAGTTTTTACCAAAAAGTTATATTTAGGTTTCATCTGACCATATGACATTCTCCCAATCCTCTTCTGGATCATCCAAATGCACTCTAGCAAACTTCAGACGGGCCTGGACATGTACTGGCTTAAGCAGGGGGACACGTCTGGCACTGCAGGATTTGAGTCCCTGGTGGCGTAGTGTGTTACTGATGGTAGGCTTTGTTACTTTGGTCCCAGCTCTCTGCAGGTCATTCACTAGGTCCCCCCGTGTGGTTCTGGGATTTTTGCTCACCGTTCTTGAGATCATTTTGACCCCACGGGGTGAGATCTTGCGTGGAGCCCCAGATCGAGGGAGATTATCAGTGGTCTTGTATGTCTTCCATTTCCTAATAATTGCTCCCACAGTTGATTTCTTCAAACCAAGCTGCTTACCTATTGCAGATTCAGTCTTCCCAGCCTTGTGCAGGTCTACAATTTTGTTTCTGGTGTCCTTTGACAGCTCTTTGGTCTTGGCCATAGTAGAGTTTGGAGTGTGACTGTTTGAGGTTGTGGACAGGTGTCTTTTATACTGATAACAAGTTCAAACAGGTGCCATTAATACAGGTAACGAGTGGAGGCCAGAGGAGCCTCTTAAAGAAGAAGTTACAGGTCTGTGAGAGCCAGAAATCTTGCTTGTTTGTAGGTGACCAAATACCTATTTTCCACCATAATTTGCAAATAAATTCATTAAAAATCCTACAATGTGATTTTCATACAATTTGTCTGTCATAGTTGACGTGTACCTATGATGAAAATTACAGGCCTCTCTCATCTTTTTAAGTGGGAGAACTTGCACAGTTGGTGGCTGACTAAATACTTTTTTCCCCCACTGTATGTAACATTTTTCAATCAGAAATAGATGGGTTTGGAAAGATTGGGACTATCTGAGATTAAAATCTACAGGACAATACATGTTAAAACCTGATCTTAATTTTATTATGTTTTTGAAATGTACCAAAAATAACCTGTTGCATGTTAAGTTTGCAGATTAGGCCTGTCTGAATTAGCACATTTTCTCATTTATAAAAGTAAAGTAAAGAAACAAACGTTTTTTGTTAAAGCAGTATAATAAATATTGATTACAATCAAACCTTCTGTTTGCATTATAATACTTGTGTATCTGTGTGGGTATTTCAGTTAATCACTGGAGAACAATATTTTTCTTTTTTTGTTAGGTTTTTAAATTAAAAAGTAATATCACTCCTGGAGCATATTTACTGTATGTTCACAAGATTCGATTCTCCCTACAACTTCACCAGACAGCTGCTGTGTCCACTGCTCTGGGACCCTGAACGTCAGATTTGAGCCGACTTCTATCCGTGGTGCTGAATATATATATTTATTATTTATTTATTACAGATATTGCCGCTATTGTGCTTGAAATTTCTTGTGCGACTCCCTTTTTTGTCTCCGTTCTCCTTGCTTGTAACCGGTCTCTCGTCTTGCTGCCTTAATCCTACATTGAAATCTGTGCAAATTTCTGACACACATTCTCCTTTTGACTCAGTATCAATATCAAATAATTTCTGGGTAACAATTAAGTACCTTACTGTGATTGCTTTCAATTAAAATGGTCAAAAAGAAACAAAAATAGCTTCTGCGAAGCGCAATATCTCAAGCAAGAATTTAGCTTGGATTGTCTGGGAGTGATCTGAGTGGGGAGGGGAAAACTGAAAACTAGCTGTTATTGGCAGAGAGGTTTGTAACTCTTTCTTATTGGTCTATTAACTAATTTAACTAACTCCATCCCACCAAAACAGGCAGACATTTCAGGTGGTCTTTTCACACAGCGCTTACACTAAAAGGGCATTATCATTTTCACAAATTCACAGTATTATTCCAACTTCGTAGTGTGGAAATATATATAAAACACAGGAAAGTCACGTTGTTGACTGCAATGGGCCTTTCATGTATGATTGTAGTGCATAGATAGGATTCAACTTTCTTTGAGCACTTCCCAAATCTCTCCCCCCCCCTCCCTCTCCCTCCCTCCCCCAGTGACAACCAGGAGAAGATGATCTACTATCTCCTGTTGGACAGGAAGGAGCGTTACCCCAGTTACGAGGATGAAGATTTGCCGCCCCGAAATGACGTAGGTGAGTCCCTAGGTGGCAGGAGCGAGCCATTGACCGCACTTACACTCCATCCCTGTCTGGTCTGCTGTCTTCCTCCTGCCCACGTCTCTGTGTCTGGGTGTGTACCTCTCTCCTGCTTCTCGACTGACATGCGTGCCACGCACTCACACACTAACTGGACCCAACTCACACACTAACTGGACCCACCTTTTAAACTGCTCAATTTGGTGTCTGACAGTGGGAAGAAAAACGTTTTGCAACGTAATACAAAGCAGGCGTTTCTTATCGGACAAGTTGACATAGTGCCTCCCCCAATTTCAGCCCGTTTGCCTCTGTTTTGTCTAGTGAATACAACCCTGTCCCTGGGATTTCATGCAACCCCCACACACGCTGCGACAGGTGGATTAGCTTGTCAGTCACAGTGGTCTACTAGCTACAGCCTACAGAGCTTCATCAACCACGCCTCTCAACAACTAGGTTTGGTTGCACCAGCACCTCGTTGTTTGACTCTGAACTCTGCACTTGGTTTCTTTCTTCACTCACGCTCCTAACCCGCCTGCCTGGTTGCCTGCCTCATGAGTGAACACACATTTTCATGGGAAACAAGGTATGTGTTAATAAAATCAGTTTAGTCGTCCTCTAAAACTAGCTAGAATGACCCAATATATAGCTAGCTAACAAAACGACTAATGTTAGCTTTAGTAGCCTAGCTAGATAGCTAACAGCATTTAGCTAGGTTGATGCAATCATGCAGCCAGCAGCTAACGTTCATAATTTAGACTCACTGAATAAATGTGTTTGGCGCAGGATAAAGAAGATTAAATGATCTGCTGCTGCTACCCAAGGGATACTGAAGTTCCTGAAAAGGTTAGTCAGCCAGTTTGTTAGTTCAGTAATGTTGGATTTATTATTTATTTCCACTGCTGGTGTTTGTGGCGCAAATTTCACTGTCACAGAGCAGTCTACACAGACAATATGCACACATTTCTCCAACCATAACAGATGGAAGGCTAATGCAGAAAGAGAGAATTGATTGATGGTTACAACTATAACTTTCACAAATACAGAGACAGGCAGCCATCATGGCGTCAGTCTTTTTCGACTAGCTAGTGCATTAGTGACACTTACTGATATGAACTGGTAATGCAGGTTTGGTTAGAATAGATTGCAATAGAATGAGTGACGTTCAGTAACATCTACTTAATGAAAAGGGGGATATTATTTAATGAAAATGTTGAAAGTAGTTGATTTAAGATTGAATATATGGATTTTACAGGCAATCAGTTCCTACAGTGAGCGCCAGGGAACCAACCTCTGGTGGGCCAGATGGAGACCAGGACAACAACACAGGTTTAGTTGTTTTATGACTTAGGCTACACATATTTTTTTTTTGTTACAAAGTCTACTGTGTAAATGTAACCCTGCCTTGTTACAAAGTCTACTGTATATAATGTAACCCTTTCTTACATAAAGCTTACAGAATGAATCATTGCAGAAAAGCGCTGTAGTCAGACAAACAATTCATAGGTTTTATGACATAAAATTAAAATACTTTTCAACCATGAAACCTGTCTGTCTTTTACATTTTTCAAAGTCCCCTGCTTAACATTGTGTGTGTATAGAGTGGAATTCATATTTAAAGACATTGTAACCATTCTTTGCATAATGCTCAGCTCTGCTATAGTAGTTCACTAAACCACAGAGTATGTTGTTTATTGAAGTTGTAGTTTCTGGCTCTTTTGATACCAGATTCAGAATGAATAATAACAAGGTTTGTGGTAGTTTGAAAGGGTTTGAACCACCATAGGCCAAGAGTGTTTCCAATTCACATGACCTGACAAGAAAACCCCCAGCCCTATAGTCATAGAACAGATGAAATGGGAAGCTATCTATCTATAATAATAATATTTTGTCATAGTCTACAAATAGGACCCAGAGTTTTACCTGACCAGGTCATGAGATCAGGAAAAAGTCCAGGCCCCAGAAAAGACACGTACAAATTTTACCACACCACATTTGAACCTGTGGGGCCACCTCTGGTATAAAATAAATAATACAAATACTAAGGTATATTGTATGCTCAAACAAATGGGAAAATATTATTTTATGGGGTTATTTTATTGGGATATGCATATTTTTTTCCATGCAAAACCCACCACTGGTGTGCGTGGCCGAAGAGCTTTATTTTCATGTCATCTGACCATCGCACCGGTTCCAATCCAAATGCCAATGCTGTTTAGCGAACTCCAAGCGTTTACATTTGTTGGATGACATGAAAATAGAGCTGTTTGGCCACGCACACCAGTGGTGGATTTTTTTATCAATAGAAAGATGCAGAAAAAGGGGCCTCCCCAGTGGCGCAGCAGTCTAAGGCACTGCATCGCTGCAGGCTGACTTCAGTCGTCAGTTGAACGGTGTTTCCTCCGACACATTGGTGCAGCTGGCTTCTGGGTTAAGCGGGCGGGTGTTAAGGAGCGCGGTTTGGTGGGTCATGTTTCGGAGGATGCATGACTCTCCCGAACCCGTTGACAAGATCGTAATTGAAATTGGGAGAAAAAGGGGGTAAAAAAAAAAAAATGATGCAGAAAATAACCCCATACATTCCATTTCAGTCATTTAGCAGACACTCTTTTTTAAAATAATTTTATACAGTCTTTTGCTCATCTTTATCAAGGGTTCCAATACATTTGGACCTGACTGCACATGGTATGACCCAATTTAAGAGGAGGTTGGTGTTACTGCATGCTGTGCTAACTCCACCCTGGTGTCCCTCAGCGGACCCCCCTCGTAAGCGCGTGGACTCTCCCATGCTGACGCGTCACAGCCGCTGCCGCCCGGAGAGGAAGAGCCTGGAGGTGTTGAGTGTGACCGAGCAGGGGTCTCCCACCCCGCCACGCAGGGCCCTGGACACGGCCGCAAACAGCCAGAGGTACTGGGGTCTCACAAACACTGTCCAGAAATACACACAAAGACAGACAGGCACGCACACAAACATACACACACAGACACTACATGCTTACTCTACAAACAAACATTTTGCTAGCCACATTGAATACACACAGTATAGATTATAATACATATACCGGTACATCAGCCAACAGTGGACCTACTTGATTGTGGAATAATTTCATTTTCTTCACCTTTATGATGATGACATTTAACCTTATGACCTTGTGACCCCTCTACAGGTCTCGCTCAGTCAGTGGGGCATCCACCGGCCTTTCCTCCAGCCCTCTCAGCAGTCCCAGGGTAAGTGGACTGTTAGCCAACACTTTTAACATCCACTCTGAAATGATAAAGTATACAACGTTGACTCTGAACTGTCTTCTTATATGTATGTCAGACATAAATGTATTTTTTGCAATCCTCAAAGATTCATTTTTATTGCTGATTTGAAAATGTGTTAACATTGCTTTAACGTTTCCTCCGAGATTGTCCATCTCACTCAAGCTCCTTGATCATTCAGAGCCATTTTACATGTCATAACACCACTCTTATCAGAATAATTCTTACTCATTGGGAGTTTCTTTGTCATTTTTCTTATTTTTCTGCTTCTCTACACCATACTTTCTACAACATGCACCAACTTGATACATGCACATTTTGTAGCGCAACACAGTACATAAAGTAAAGTTAAACATGTTTGTTTTGCAGAAAGTTGGTCATCATTTATGTTGGTCATCATTGGAAGTCATTGTTGGTTTAAGCTTTTTGTTCAATTTGAGAAGTTGTGTTCGACTGTAACTGTGAAAATGTCAACATACTGGTTAAATTGTTTCTGTTCTGGATCAGCAAAAGCAGAAACCCTATTTTACCACAGTCATAGCATCACTACTGAAAGTGGAAGTTCATAGTACAGTCATAATGTATTGCTTACGCCATTTTGTAGTGTTTGTCTTCCATACTGTTTCTGACATGGAGGGATTTTTGTGTACTGGGTTATCTAACATGTTAGCTGAAAGTGATAAAAAAAGAGTGAGGTTGGAACATAAATGGTTGAATGCACGGTCAGAACTAATTATTTTTCAATCAGTTATACAAATAGCTCACACTGTCAGTGCAGTTTCTTCACCATCATACAAGAAGCACTCTTTTGTCATAACCCATAACACTCATTTCCATCCTTCTTTTTCAATTTTTCCATCCCTCTTTCTCTTCTTCTTTTCCATTCCTCCACCCCTCCCCTAGTCCTATCAGAGCCCCATCTTCACATTTAGCCAATCAGACGTCACCTCCGCCACCCCTCACACTAAGGACCCATCCAAACCAGGAAGGGCTACCATGCCTCGGCCGGCCCGAGCCCACGACAAACTCAAAGCGTCCCAGAACCCCAGAAACCAGACCCTGCCCACTCCCACCAAGGACGGTGCTGCCGCCGACTTGCCCCACCTCCAACCCATCAAGTCCCTCCCCATCCACAACTCGCCCTCCCGCTCGCCCTCGCCCCTCCTCTCGCCCTTCCCCCGCTTCTTCTTCCCCTCGCCCTCCGTGCTCAAGTCGGTCACTAAGAGCTTCTACCCCAACTCTGCCCACTCTGTGTCGCAGGTTACACCCCAGGGCTCTCCGCTGCCAACTCCCCATGGGCACCCCTGTCCACCACCCACACCACCCCTCCTCCACCCCTCCCTCTAACTCCTCCTCCTCGTCCTCCTCCTCGCGGGCGGAGGGAGGCGGAGGGGTGGGCTCCCTGTCCCTGACTCCTCCCTCCAGCCCTGGAGGGGGAGGCGGTATGGCGGCTAGCAGCTCCGCCCACTGGAGGACCCGCCTCAACTCGTTCAAGAACAACCTGCTGGGCTCACCCCGCTTCCACCGCCGCAAGATGCAGGGTGAGAGGTCACAAGGTCATAAAGTCACTTTCTTTAGGTGTTTCCCTCAGAGGAAGTTGCAGTTAGGGCTGTTGTGGTGACCGCATTACCGCCACACCGGCAGTCATGAGTCATGACCGCAGTAAAATTCTACGTCACGGTAATCTCCTCTTATGCACTCTGGACAAGCATTAGTAATACCCAACTCGCTAACGATTATCAGGTTGCTAATGGACTGGTACTCAGGGCTCTATTGTCCCTCTAACCACTCTGACATCAATGCAAATGAAATCGAAAATAACAAACACTTATCATTAAAACAGTATGTGCTTTTAAAACTCACCTCACTGTGATTTGAAGAAAGAAGTTCAACAGGTTGAAACCTAGTGGAAAACAGGGTCGCTGTGGATGTTGTTTCAAAGCCTAACACAACGAAATGGACAGAGCTTTCTAAGGTGATGATTAATTCAAAACACCCTAATGCATATTAGAGCTAATGTGTAAGCATAGGCCTATATATGAGCCCAAGCCCGAAACCCCCCCCCTGAATTAAAATAATGATTGTGCAGTTATACAATACATAGTCTACCGCATATTACACATGGCAGAAAAAAATACTGATTTAAGATAGTGTCTTTGGTACATAATTGGTATAGACTAAATTAAACAAGTTCAGAGTAAGTCTACAATTATAGTGAATTTGTATTTGATTTTGAATAGCCTAGGAATAGGGAATTGTGTATATTTTCACAATTAATAGGCTGAAACATTACCTTTAGCTACATAATATCTGACCACCGGCAGTTTCCATCTCCTCCCCTCTCTCCTTCATTCCTTTCTCCAGGATGCAGAGAGAGGGGCTGTCAACAATTTAATTTGTGAGAACAGAACTATCGATGTTCCTGAACAGATTTCACTTGGTTTCTCCAAATTAAGCACTGGGTAGCTGCATGAACAGGGTTGGAGAGTCCATGGCATATAGAGTTTGGACGGAATATCACCTGTCCCGCAGTGAAATTACCGGAGTAGCCTACCCGACATGAGTGAAAAACGTACCTGTGGGAAAGTGGCATCCACTATTCCAGTGCATACGGATGACATGTATTTTTTGTCTTTTTTGTCTTGTCCCTGTTCCTGCCCAATTGATCAATCAAAACAAATTTTACATATTAGTAAAGACAAGATTAAATTGAGAATAGTCTGATGGGTGAAAATATGATAACTTGATGAGAGAACAGCATGTGCAGCCTGAGGCAAGGAACAGAGCGCAAGCTTTTTTTTGCAATCTTCTCAAACCATCAATAGCCTATAGTCGCATCATGCAGCCCATATATTTTTGATTTATAAGGTATTTTAAGGTTTGTATCATTCACAACTAAAGTTGCCAAATAACTCTAAATCTACAGTGGGGAAAAAAAGTATTTAGTCAGCCACCAATTGTGCAAGTTCTCCCACTTAAAAGGATGAGAGAGGCCTGTAATTTTCATCATAGGTACACGTCAACTATGACAGACAAATTGAGAAAAAAAATCCAGAAAATCACATTGTAGGATTTTTAATGAATTTATTTGCAAATTATGGTGGAAAATAAGTATTTGGTCACCTACAAACAAGCAAGATTTCTGGCTCTCACAGACCTGTAACTTCTTCTTTAAGAGGCTCCTCTGTCCTCCACTCGTTATCTGTATTAATGGCACCTGTTTGAACTTGTTATCAGTATAAAAGACACCTGTCCACAACCTCAAACAGTCACACTCCAAACTCCACTATGGCCAAGACCAAAGAGCTGTCAAAGGACACCAGAAACAAAATTGTAGACCTGCACCAGGCTGGGAAGACTGAATCTACAATAGGTAAGCAGCTTGGTTTGAAGAAATCAACTGTGGGAGCAATTATTAGGAAATGGAAGACATACAAGACCACTGATAATCTCCCTCGATCTGGGGCTCCACGCAAGATCTCACCCCGTGGGGTCAAAATGATCACAAGAACGGTGAGCAAAAATCCCAGAACCACACGGGAGGACCTAGTGAATGACCTGCAGAGAGCTGGGACCAAAGTAACAAAGCCTACCATCAGTAACACACTACGCCACCAGGGACTCAAATCCTGCAGTGCCAGACGTGTCCCCCTGCTTAAGCCAGTACATGTCCAGGCCCGTCTGAAGTTTGCTAGAGTGCATTTGGATGATCCAGAAGAGGATTGGGAGAATGTCATATGGTCAGATGAAACCAAAATAGAACTTTTTGGTAAAAACTCAACTCGTCGTGTTTGGAGGACAAAGAATGCTGAGTTGCATCCAAAGAACACCATACCTACTGTGAAGCATGGGGGTGGAAACATCATGCTTTGGGGCTGTTTTTCTGCAAAGGGACCAGGACGACTGATCCGTGTAAAGGAAAGAATGAATGGGGCCATGTATCGTGAGATTTTGAGTGAAAACCTCCTTCCATCAGCAAGGGCATTGAAGATGAAACGTGGCTGGGTCTTTCAGCATGACAATGATCCCAAACAAACCGCCCGGGCAACGAAGGAGTGGCTTCGTAAGAAGCATTTCAAGGTCCTGGAGTGGCCTAGCCAGTCTCCAGATCTCAACCCCATAGAAAATCTTTGGAGGGAGTTGAAAGTCTGTGTTGCCCAGCGACAGCCCCAAAACATCACTGCTCTAGAGGAGATCTGCATGGAGGAATGGGCCAAAATACCATCAACAGTGTGTGAAAACCTTGTGAAGACTTACAGAAAACGTTTGACCTGTGTCATTGCCAACAAAGGGTATATAACAAAGTATTGAGAAACTTTTGTTATTGACCAAATACTTATTTTCCACCATAATTTGCAAATAAATTCATTAAAAATCCTACAATGTGATTTTCTGGATATTTTTTTCTCATTTTGTCTGTCATAGTTGACGTGTACCTATGATGAAAATTACAGGCCTCTCTCATCTTTTTAAGTGGGAGAACTTGCACAATTGGTGGCTGACTAAATACTTTTCTTCCCCACTGTACATCCGGTGAATGGCTTATTGTTCTATCTGTGGAAAACCAGAGCCTGCTATTTACAATAGGCTCAGGATCACTCCACAAAACAGAAACCGTTTTAACATCCCCATTTTGACACATGATTGACAATACAGAACGAATGAATATAAATAAACTTAGAATACACAGACAGACTATATGTAACTACATAGCAAATAGTGCTGAGCGATTAACCTTTTTTTTTTTTGGGGGGGGGGGGGGGGGTTATTAAACAACTAATTGACTGACGTCAGTTCACTTGCATTCCATTTAATTTAGTTTTTTGTAAGCTCAACACGCCTTTTCTCTAGAGAGAAATCCAATCATTCACAAGAGAAATTGGGCGCGTTCCACAGCTAAGGCGAAGCAAGGCAACAACCAATGGTTGTGCGACGTCATCGACTGTGTCATCGACTGACAAATTGCTATAACATATGATGTGGTTAGCTGATACTTAAAATACCTATCCAGGTGTTGTAAGATCTGCCAGGCATCAGCAACATCTATGCATGGAAATACCCCCATTAAGTCAAGAACTATGTGGGACACTGGGCTGAAGGGAGTTGTAGTTTTCATTAGGCAAATATTCAACCTAGTTCAGCGCAGAAACATGGTAATTAAGTACAATGACCATAATCCACTGCGCCTGTTCTTCCCGTTATGGACAGAGACGGAACACATGAGAGAGGAATGTACACAATACCAACAATGAGCTCTGCAGCATACTAGCTAGCTACTAGCCTAGCTAAACAGGACGACAAAGACAGTACAGTATGGGGAGCACAGTATGGCTGCTACTGTCTACCCAGTATTGACCCGACAGAGACAATGAATGTGTTCATTGTTTTGGCAATCGAATGTTCACTATTTGGGGCTTTGGAATTTCCATTAAAAAGCTCTAAAATCATTTAGTCATTATTTCATAATGCATTTAATGTAAAAAAAATCTGTGATTATTGTTTAATAGCCGAACAGAAACCTAACCGACCGCAAAAAGCACTAATCGCTCAGCACTGATAGCAATAGATAACATTTAATACAGTTGAAATTGAGCAAATTAGCATAAATAACTAAATGCATGTCCTCCTGTCAACCCCATAAATCAACTAATGCCCTGTTTTCTTCAGTGCCCACATCAGAGGACATGTCTAGGCTGACCCCAGAGTCCAGCCCTGAGTAAGTCACACACACACACACTCATGAACATGCCTCCTAGATGCCCTACGCTAAGGACTGACTCATTTTACCTTGCTATAACCATGTGTTTGTGTGTCCATTTCTATCTCTGTGTGTGTGTGTCGCTGTGTGTGCGTCTCTGTGTGTGTGTGTGTGTGTCTCTCTCTGTGTGTGTGTGTCTTGCTCCCTCAGGTTGGCTAAGAAGTCGTGGTTTGGGAACTTCATCAGCCTGGAGAAGGAGGAGCAGATCTTTGTGGTGATCAGAGACAAGCCACTGAGCTCTGTGAAGGCAGACATCGTCCACGCCTTCCTCTCTGTAAGTATCTGACTCCGCTTCGAACGTCTTCAATTAATCATGTCTGTGAGACTTGTCTTGAGAATGGCTGTGTTGCTAAAACGTTGACATTCTATCTATTTTTTTCTGAATCTATGTCATTACTCTTCAGTCCTAGTAATATGTTTTTAAAGTGCTAGGAATGTATCTTGTGAACCTTTATATTTTCAATAGAATCCGTTTTAATTTTTAATGTATTTATTTTATTTCACCTTTATTTAACCAGGTAAGCCAGTTGAGAACAAGTTCTCATTTACAACTGCGACCTGGCCAAGATAAAGCAAAGCAGTGCGATAAAAACAACAACACAGAGTTACATATGGGGTAAACAAAACATAAAGTCCAAAATACAACAGTGTGTGCGAATGTAGTAAGTTATGGAGGTAAGGCAATAAATAGGCCATAGTGCAAAATAATTACAATTAGTATTAACACTGGAATGATAGACTGGCAAGAGATGATGTGCAAATAGAGATACTGGGGTGCAAATTAGCAATATGGGGATGAGGTAGTTGGGTGGGCTAATTTCAGAATGGCTGTGTACAGGTGCAGTGATCGGTAAGCTGCTCTGACAACTGACGCTTAATATTAGTGAGGGAGATAAGAGTCTCCAGCTCAGAGATTTTTGCAGTTCGTTCCAGTCATTGGCAGCAGAGAACTGGAAGGAATGGCGGCCAAAGGAGGTGTTGGCTTTGGGGATGACCAGTGAGATATACCTGCTGGAGCGCAGACTACGGGTGGGTGTTGCTATGGTGACCAGTGAGCTAAGATAAGACGGGGATTTGCCTAGCAGTGATTTATAGATGACCTGGAGCCAGTGGGTTTGGCAACGAATATGTAGTGAGGGCCAGCCAACAAGATTGTACAGTTCACAATGGTGGGTAGTATATGGGGCTTTGGTGACAAAACGGATGGCACTGTGATAGACTACATCCAATTTGCTGAATAGAGTGTTGGAGGCTATTTTATAAATGACATCGCCCAAGTCAAGGATCGGTAGGATAGTCAGTTTTACGAGGGCATGTTTGGCAGCATGAGTGAAGGAGGCTTTGTTGTGAAATAGGAAGCCGATTCTAGATCTAACTTTTGATTGGAGATGCTTAATGTGAGTCTGGAAGGAGTCTAACCAGACACCTAGGTATTTGTAGTTGTCCACATACTCTAGGTCAGACCCGCCGAGAGTAGTGATTCTAGTCGGGTAGGCGGGTGCAAGCAGTGTTCGGTTGAAGAGCATGCATTTAGTTTTACTAGTGTTTAAGAGCAGTTGGAGGCTACGGACGGAGTGTTGTATGGCGTTGAAGCTCGTTTTGAGGTTTGTTAACACAGTGTCCAATGAAGGGCCAGATGTATACAAAATGGTGTTGTCTGCATAGAGGTGGATCCGAGCGTCACCAGCAGCAAGAGAATAGAGTCGGCCCGAGAATTGAACCCTGTGGCAACCCCATAGAGAAGGCCAGAGGTCCAGACAACAGGCCCTCCGATTTGACACATTGAACTCTATCTGAGAAGTAGTTGGTGAACCAGGTGAGGCAGTCATTAGACAAACCAAGGCTATTTAGTCTGCCAATAAGAATGCGGTGGTTGACAGAGTCGAAAGCCTTGGCCAGGTCGATGAAGACGGCTGCGCAGTACTGTCTTTTATCGATTGCGGTTATAATATCGTTTAGGACCTTGAGCGTGGCTCAGGTGCACCCATGACCAGCTCGGAAATCGGATTGCATAGCGGAGAAGGTACGGTGGGATTTGAAATAGTCGGTGATCTGTTTGTTAACTTGGCTTTCAAATACTTTCGAAAGGCAGGGCAGGATGGATATAGATCTGTAACAGTTTGGATCTAGAGTGTCACCCCCTTTGAAGAGGGGGATGACCGCGGCAGCTTTCCAATCTCTGGGGATCTCAGACGTTAATGACATGAAAAACGTGTCAATGTGGCTAAAACTGAAAAGTTTCAGATGGTAGTAAATTCTCTCTTTGTTTTGCTCTCTACTACCCCATCTCACATTGACCCTCTTTCTCTGTCTCTCCCCCCTCGGCCTCTTACTTTCTCTACCCACCTCTCCTTTTCTTTCTCTCCATTACCCTACGTATCCTCTCTCTCCCCCCTACCCCCCTTGTCAGATCCCCTCCCTCAGCCACAGCGTCATCTCCCAGACCAGCTTCAGGGCCGAGTACAAGATCTCCGGCGGCCCCTCCGTCTTCCAGAAGCCTGTTAAGTTCCAGGTGGACATTGCCTTCTCCGAGGGAGAGAGAGAGCGGGAGAGGGAGAAAACCGAGAGGGAAGGCAAGAGAGAGACAGGCATCTACAGCGTGACATTCACCCTCATATCAGGCAAGTGGAACTTGGAATAGAAAGTATAAGTGTTCATTCTATTGCTGTTAGTTGGTGATTTACAATATCTCGTTATATATGGTGGATTGAATTGGTACAGTTCCGCGAATGAATGAAAGTAGGGCATGTTTGTTATGGTGGAAGGGACAGCTTTGGCTGTGCTTTTGGTATATGCTGTTGTGCAAAGTTTGTGTGTGTGTGTGCTGGTAAAAGCTTGCTTCTTCTCAATGCCTTTGTGTATGTGTGTGTGTGTGTGTGTGTTCGCAGGTCCTAGTCGCAGGTTCAAACGAGTGGTGGAGACCATTCAGGCCCAGCTTCTCAGCTCCCATGATCAGCCCATGGGGGTCTCTGGTGAGTCACACATATTCATTTCTACTCACACACACCAACCTCTTATACTATTTCCCACATTCGGTTACACATTATAATAACTGAAAATAATAATCCATTATTTGCTTTATAAATGAGTGTAATTGTTATAAATGTTTGGATATGTTTACAAATAATGAAATACTAATTTATTAATAGTATGCACACTATTTATAACATGAATTATGTATTATTATTATTATTATTTCCCCAAATTCTTACACCACACTGGTTTCACCTAAATGAATGGAGTCACTTTACTCCAGGGTTCCCCAACTGGTGGCCCGTGGGCCGAATTTGGTCCGCGGGGGGGTTTATTTGGCCCCCCAAGTTCTCTGAGCAAAAATATATATACAATACCAGTCAAAAGTTTGGACACACCTACACATTCAAGGGTTTTTCTTTATTTTTACTATTTTTTACATTGTAGAATAATAGTGAAGACATCAAAACTATGAAATAACACATATGGAATCATGTAGTAACCAAACAAAGTGTTAAACAAATCAAAATATATTTTATATTTGAGATTCTTCAAATAGCCACCCTTGATGACAGCTTTGCACACTCTTGGCATTCTCTCAATGCTTTTCCAACAGTCTTGAAGGAGTTCCCACATATGCTGAGCACTTGTTGGCTGCTTTTCCTTAACTCTGCGGTCCGACTCATCCCAAACCATCTCAATTTGGTTGAGGTCGGGGGATTGTGGAGGCCAGGTCATCTGATGCAGCACTCCATCACTCTCCTTCTTGGTAAAATAGCCCTTACACAGCCTGGAGGTGTGTTGGGTCATTGTCCTGTTGAAAAACAAATGATGGTCCCAATAAGCCCAAACCAGATAGGATGGCATATCGCTGCAGAATGTTGTGGTAGCCATGCTGGTTAAGTGTGCCTTGAATTCACTGCGGACCTATTTGGACTCCAGACCAAAGGACACATTTCCACCGGTCTAATGTCCATTGCTCATGTTTCTTGGGCCAAGCAAATCTCTTCTTATTATTGGTGTCCTTTAGTAGTGGTTTCTTTGCAGCAATTCGACCATGAAGGCCTGATTCACACAGTCTCCTCTGAACAGTTGATGTTGAGATGTGTCTGTTACTTGAACCCTGTGAAGCATTTATTTGGGCTGCAATTTCTGAGGCTGGTAACGCTAATGAACTTATCCTCTGCAGCAGAGATAACTCTGGGTCTTCCATTCCTGTGGCGGTCCTCATGAGAGCCAGTTTCATCATAGCGCTTGATGGTTCGTATTGACTGACCTTCATGTCTTAAAGTAATGATGGACTGTCGTTTCTCTTTGCTTATTTGAGCTGTTCTTGCCATAATATGGACTTGGTATTTTGCCAAATAGGGCTATCTTCTGTATACCCCCCCCCCCCCCCCCCCCCCCCCTCCCTACCTTGTCACAACACAACTGATTGGCACAAAACGCATTAAGAAGGAAAGAAATTCCACAAATTAACTTTTAAGAAGGCACACCTGTTAATTGAAATGCATTCCAGGTGACTACCTCATGAAGCTGGTTGAGAGAATGCTGGTTGAGAGAATGAAGAGTGTGCAAAGCTGTCATCAAGGCAAAGGGTGGCTACTTTGAAGAATCTCAAATATAAAATATATTTTGATTTGTTGAACACTTTTTTGGTTACTACATGATTATTTCATAGTTTTGATGTCTTCACTATTATTCTACAATGTAGAAAATAGTAAAAATAAAGAAAAACCCTTGAATGAGTAGGTGTTCTAAAACTTTTGACCGGTAGTGTATATACAGTGGGGAAAAAAAGTATTTAGTCAGCCAGCAATTGTGCAAGTTCTCCCACTTAAAAAGATGAGAGAGGCCTGTAATTTTCATCATAGGTACACGTCAAATATGACAGACAAAATGAGAAGAAAAAAAATCCAGAAAATCATTGTAGGATTTTTTATGAATTTATTTGCAAATTATGGTGGAAAATAAGTATTTGGTCAATAAAAAAAGTTTCTCAATACTTTGTTGGCAATGACACAGGTCAAACGTTTTCTGTAAGTCTTCACAAGGTTTTCACACACTGTTGCTGGTATTTTGGCCCATTCCTCCATGCAGATCTCCTCTAGAGCAGTGATGTTTTGGGGCTGTCGCTGGGCAACACGGACTTTCAACTCCCTCCAAAGATTTTCTATGGGGTTGAGATCTGGAGACTGGCTAGGCCACTCCAGGACCTTGAAATGCTTCTTACGAAGCCACTCCTTCGTTGCCCGGGCGGTGTGTTTGGGATCATTGTCATGCTAAAAGACCCAGCCATATTTCATCTTCAATGCCCTTGCTGATGGAAGGAGGTTTTCACTCAAAATCTCACGATACATGGCCCCATTCATTATTTCCTTTACACGGATCAGTCGTTCTGGTCCCTTTGCAGAAAACAGCCCCAAAGCATGATGTTTCCACCCCCATGCTTCACAGTAGGTATGGTGTTCTTTGGATGCAACTCAGCATTCTTTGTCCTCCAAACACAACGAGTTGAGTTTTTACCAAAAAGTTATATTTTGGTTTCATCTGACCATATGACATTCTCCCAATCCTCTTCTTGATCATCCAAATGCACTCTAGCAAACTTCAGACGGGCCTGGACATGTACTGGCTTAAGCAGGGGGACACGTCTGGCACTGCAGGCTTTGAGTCCCTGGCGGCGTAGTGTGTTACTAATGGTAGGCTTTGTTATTTTGGTCCCAGCTCTCTGCAGGTCATTCACTAGGTCCCCCCATGTGGTTCTGGGATTTTTGCTCACCGTTCTTGTGATCATTTTGACCCCACAGGGTGAGATCTTGCGTGGAGCCCCAGATCGAGGGAGATTATCAGTGGTTTTGTATGTCTTCCATTTCCTAATAATTGCTCCCACAGTTGATTTCTTCAAACCAAGCTGCTTACCTATTGCAGATTCAGTTTTCCCAGCCTGGTGCAGGTCTACAATTTTGTTTCTGGTGTCCTTTGACAGCTCTTTGGTCTTGGCCATAGTGGAGTTTGGAGTGTGACTGTTTGAGGTTGTGGACAGGTGTCTTTTATACTGATAACAAGTTCAAACAGGTGCCATTAATACAGGTAACAAGTGGAGGACAGAGGAGCCTCTTAAAGAAGAAGTTACAGGTCTGTGAGAGCCAGAAATCTTGCTTGTTTGTAGGTGACCAAATACTTATTTTCCACCATAATTTGCAAATAAATTCATAAAAAATCCTACAATGTGATTTTCTGGAGAAAAAAAATCTTAATTTTTCCGTCATAGTTGACGTGTACCTATGATGAAAATTACAGGCCTCTCTCATCTTTTTAAGTGGGAGAACTTGCACAATTGGTGGCTGACTAAATACTTTTTTTCTCCACTGTATGTATCTTTTTAAAATTTTTATAATTGATAAAATACTGTAAAAACACCAGGAATTTAGCACCAAACTATTTTCATTTTGGAAATCTGTTCCCAAGTATTCTCACGCATAGTAGAGAGATGTGATCGTATACAAATGTAAGCAAGATTTGTAATTATTATGTTTTAGTCAAATATATATATTTGGGCTTCTTGTGGTCAATTTGTAGTCTACAAATTATTTGTAATTATATTCCGGCATACGACCATCCACTCAAGAAAAAAATAAAATGGCCGGCGGCTGAATCTAGTTGATGACCCCTGCTTTGCTTTACTCTCTCTTTCTCTCCACCTCTTTCTCTATACAGACCCCTTCCCAGATGAGAAGAACGGCCGGCCCCACGGGACCCCCACTCGCCAGAACTCCCGCCGCTCCGAGGGCGGTGGTGACCGGTGCGAGTGGGGCGAGCGAGGCGACGGAGGAGGCATCGGAGGCAGTGGGGGGGTCCTACAACGCAGAGGCTCTGGGAAGGAGAGGACCCGACTACTGTCCTCCAACGGAACACAGTCCCAACCCTGAGAGAGAGAGAGAGAGCGAGAGAGAGAGAGTGAGACCAGTCGGGTAGCAGGTGTTCAAATGCCATTGGGGGAAAAAAAGAAGACAAATTGTCCAAAAAAAACTCACCCCCTCACAAACCCATTCTGCCCTGAGAAGATGTCTCAACAAGTTGTTTTAAGCCAGAACACAAGCTTTCTCTCTCGCTTCATCAGTGTTGAAATCTACATTCATGTTGATTCACTGAATCAAGCAGCGATCCAATCCAGACCAGTAATAAAACAAACCGAAAAATTGTTTTCAAAAGGGATCCATGGATGAGCCAGACACATCATAGATCAAACTAGGAACTTTGAAGAAGCACTAATTTGCATGCCAGTTAGCAAGTCATTACGCAAAAATATGTTAAAGTGGCAATATGTCACTTTTTTGGGGTCGACCTGACAAATTAACATAGAAATGTGATAGATATATCATTCTACTTGAAAGCAAGTCTAAGAAGCGGTAGATCTGTTCTATGTGCACAATTTCTATGCTTCCCGTTCTGAAGTTTTGTTTTTTGTTTTTGCGTCTTTTACTTTCGGTTTTGTACTGTACACCAGCTTCAAGCAGCTGAAATAATATGTTTGGTCATGGAAATCATATTTCACAGCGGTTTAGATGGTAAAATGATTCTCTACACTATTCTACCTTATCTTGTCACATAAACTGAAATTAGGCAAACTATTAGAGTTTTACCAACCAGGAAATGGCAGATTGATTTCTGCATAGTGCAACTTTAATTTAGATGATAAGATCTGCTAGCATACCATGGATGGTCCCGGGAATCGAACCCACTAGCCTGGCGTTACAAACACCATGCTCTACCAACTGAGCTACAAAGGACCAAGCCAATAACTCAAGCCAAAAGATAAGAACGGTTTGAACGATTTTGTGACGGTTCTCAAAAATACACAATGCCCCCCTCCCCTGTACCTTTACAACTCAGCAGCAAATGATACCTGATGAATACCTTGATGTACCCAACATTGTACCTACATTTACACAAAAGACAATGAAAGACGATGGAGACATGTAGAACCCTCTTGCTTATTATCACAGACCACCCACTCCAGAAGATAGAACATGCTGCCAATTCAATGAATGAGTTTGACAACACCTAAAGATCCTGTTTTAAAAGGGAGAAATTCGGTCCTTCAAAAAAAGAAATTTCAACATTGTTTTCTTCTGCTGTAAAGAAATACAAGTTAAGCTAAGTGAATGTGAATAATATTTTTTTATTTAGGTTTAGTTAAGATGATTTATATATTGATTTCAGGGATGTCGACGCAATCAGCGAAGATATAGTAAAGAAGAATGACATCGGGAAGAATTGACATCTTGGACACACAGTATCTGCTCCAGTATCTGAAAGTGGAACCCAAGCCGATGGGAATTTAAAAGGAAGTCAGAACGAAGTTGCCATTGATATGTTTGGAATTATTTTTGTATTTTCTTTTTTCTCAGAGACAAATACAATGTAACCAAGATTAATTTGTCGCAAACCTTTGCTCTGAAGAAAAGTATTTTTGATTTGATGAGAAATATGAAAATATATTTTAAAAGACATGGGCAAACTGTTACATGGATTGGACTTCCACTGTTTGTCCCTGACTCAATGAGAAGTGCATTCCAGACCTATGGATCGGACAGACTATATTTGCTCTCTGAGCTCGTCTCATATCACCACAGTATTCACATATTGACTCCAAACGTAGTTTTTAACATTCATTCATCGATGGACATTCTCATGAAGCTGGACTCAAACTGCTGACATATTACTCCTCGCTATCCAAGACTTAAAAAAGGCAAACAAGTGAGTCCCGTCATCACCAATGATCCAAGTGATCCATCCTCTGCACCCTTATTATCACCACTCAACAAGCAGATGTAGCTTTTCTGATGATCATGTATTACAACAGTATTATGTGATAGAAACTAGACACATTACCAACCAGTCTTCCTTACTGCACAATATGCAACAGATGCAGAATGTTTTAAGAGAGATTCCATTTCCTTGTCATTTATTTATGTATTTATTTACTGTATGTATTTATTTATATATTATTTATTTAGGAAATTCATCTTGCACCAACAAATATATCAGGAGCTAATGCAAATGTTTTTCTTGTCAACATTCTTTATATATCTTTGATTTCTTTCTCTTTCCCATGACACCAATATTGTTTTAAGATCATGAACTTTCAACTGTTACATTCCTTCCCACCGTTCTGTCTAAATGTTAGTTTCTATTGTATTAGTTAGTTTATACACTGAGTATACCAAACATTAGGAACATCTTCTTAATTTTGAGTTGTACCCCCCCCTTTTGCCCTTAGAACAGCCTCAATTCATTGGGGCATGGACTCTACAAGGTGTCGAAAGCATTCCACAGGGATGCTGGCCCATGTTGACTCCAATGCTTCCCACAGTTGTGTCAAGTTGGTTGAATATCCTTTGGGTGGTGGACCATTCTTGATACACACAGGAAACTGTTGAGCCCAGCAGCGTTGCAGTTCTTGACACAAACCGGTGCACCTGGCACCTACTACCATACCCCATTCAAAGGCACTTACATATTTTGTCTTGCCCATTCACCCTCAATGGCACACATACACAATCCATGTCTCAATTGTCTCAAGGCTTAAAAATCCTTCTTTAACATGTCTCCTCCCCTTCATCCACACTGATTGAAGTGGATTTAACACGTGACAATAAGGGATCATAGCTTTCACCTGGATTCACCTGGTCAGTCTATGTCATGGAAAGAGCAGGTGTTTTTTATGTTTTGTATGCTCAGTTTATATTTCATGCTCTGTTCAGAGCGTATTCACTATAAACGAAATGGAAGCAAACAGGCATTTTGTGCGCACTAATGAATATGACCCAGTTTCGATAATGGCATTGTAAGAGTTGAGTCAATGTCTGAGTCAGGGGTTTATATTTCAGATCTGTTGCACCACCTGTGACCAGGTTACAGGCAAAGAGATGAGAGGGACTCTCTTCAAGCATTCTGTATAAGTGACTGAGCCAGCAATGAGCCAGCAAGATCATTTGACTTCGAGAGATACCACTGTACAAGTTGGTGTCACTGTCGGTGTTTACCTTATGATTGTTCACTGTCATCTTCATCACCACGACCATCATATTCATCATCCTTAATCTAGCTAAGATTGTAAACTATTCTCCATTCCTAAGGGTCAGTAGAATAAGGTGTTTTAAAAAAGAAATGTGTATCATAATTTCAATATAAAAGTGCACTATTATAACTATTGCCTGTGATAAAAATAACAATTATGGTTGAATTGATGGTCAAAATAGCGACAATTGTTATGGTTATAATAATAAACTCTCAAATGGTGTGTGTCCTTTGAGTTTCTTGCTGTTCCAAAATGAATTTGTAACCCATTGAAAAGCATAAATAATTTACAAAATCCACATTGATCATTGAACCATGGGAAAATTGGGCATTTTCCCCATTGAAGGCAGTCCTGAGGCTACAGTACAGTTGACAGCGAGCCAATCGCAGTCTACACAGCAGCCCAGAAGGTACTCGGATGCGAGCAGAGAGGAGGGCATGATTGGAGACCGTCTCGATGTTAAGTACAGTTGCCTGCGGAGTTCTCGAATTTCCGGCTTCCTCATAGATTCTAGGTATGCTAACGATGTCTTTAACATTACATCTTTATTGTACATGATTTGTCATACATTACATTGTCGTAGAAATATTTGACTGAAAAGTAGTCAACTCAAAAATATCTCTCAAGAGACTGGAGCTTGTGAATCCAAAAATTAGACTTTATTATTTGCATAACAAAGCCGAGCTTGCTCCATGGAGCAACTGTCTCTCTTTGGCTCAGAGATCTCTTTTATACACACACAAATGCACAGTCATGTTTACATAGCATACAAAGCTACTCCCCTTAAGATAACTGATTAACATCTTTAACTGCCACGCCACTATTATCTTTCAAAGTCCAATAACACATGTTGTTTACTCAAAAAGGCCATGGGCGCTTTTCCATATGAGGCCTCATTATATTGGTGGCGTAGCTCAGACACTTTGAAAGATAATATACATACATTCATTAAAGCATGTTTACTCACTGCATTGACTATATTCCCTATTTAGACATGCATCTGGATTATAAAATGTCAATCATGTTTACTACATTTTACCTTTGACATTTCCCAACATTTTCCTTAATGATACATAAAATATTACCATATAATCCCCCCTTTGGGACATTCCAACAATGTCCCAATAATACAAAGATTTACTTTAAAAGGAATGTAAGCCTGTGCATTTACTTATTCTTAGCCTTGCCATATGTGGTTACTTTTTATATGCATATATTTAAACCAATTTATATTCCTCATTGTTTGACCCATCCTGATGAGGACCTAGAGCCCAGTCAGGTATTGGTTACAAGTCTGGAAGGTTTTCCTCTAAATTAACCTCCAAATTGTTCTATTAGGCTTTGTAACCATGGCAGGCCCATCCACCCCCAGGAACAACTTCATACAAACATTCAGGATTCCCAAATGGACAGTCCATTGGTCCTCCTTTTACAAAATTTCCCATATTCATTTACATATTGTCCTGGAGCTCCCTGAACTGGATGTATTTCTTTATAAACATTGCTCCCCACTTTTGTTTAGTTATAGCATTTCCCATATACGTGTTAGTATCCTAACACATTAAAATATGCAACTTTGTCTTAACAATAATATCTAGGACATGTTAAGAATGGTGTCAATATTTTTAGCTTACATAACCTTTTTCACCCATATCACAAGTATTATAACAATCAAAATAATCAATATCAATATCTAATCCATGAATTGCAATGTCAACATCACTAGACTTATAATTTATAATCATAATCAAATTGATTACCCAAAACAACTTTAGAATGACAATTCTTAGTTAGTCACCTTTGTTCCATCATTCAAAGTTAAAACTCTCACCTTGGCACATATTGACACTGGCGGAATGTATATTTATATTATCATAATTCTAGCATCAAC